TTCTATGCTAAGAATTTTACATCTCATCCTACTATTTCAACTAAGCTTTGGCCTCTTACTTCTAATGCGAGGCTCAGCACATTTCCAGTGAATGGGCTACTGTCATTCAAATTTTACTCAAAACTCAAATTACTTTCTTTTACAAAGTTGGTCCTTAATAAACATCCTTACTTCTGTTAGTGGTAACATAACCTTAAAGAATATAAGTCTTTCAACCTATAAACATGACAGCAATCTACCTCTCAATACTCCTCTTCAACTTCCCTATGCTTCAATCCAAGCAGACTTCTCGCTGTCCCAGTAACTCGCCCTTAACAAGCTTATGCCTATGAGATAGGCACCATTTTGTCTTTATCTGACAAGAGAGAATGAAGTGAGGGTTGGTATTTGCATCAGGCAGTATCACCTCAGTGACTATGCTCTTAACCAGTATGCGGTAATGCCACCCATTTACTTGTCACTATCACCCTATGAGGTAATAAGTCATTTATGTCCAGTTTACCAGTGAGTTTCCTGAAGCTCAGAGAAGCAACACACTATTAGTGAGTGGGGGTGACCAGATCCAACCTAATCCTTTTTTGTTCCTGGCCCCCACATTAGGGTATCTCTCCACAGCATTCTGTTCCCATTCTAGAACCTAAACCACATTGGCAGCCATTCCAAAAGACAGAAGAAAGGTGTTAAATGGTAGCGATACTAAGGGACGCCTGGAAGCAGCAAAAACAGGTTCACAGCCCGAACAGAATAAAGAACGCGTACCTGGCCACTGCAAAGACAGACTCTTAACTTCTTGAGTCATGTGCACTTACTCTGTCCCAGGGGCAGTCTCACAATGCTCTGTGCTATGTTCGGCAGGCCTCTACAATGTCCTGACCCACCCAGAGTCCTCAGAGCTCATTTCCTAGAAAGAGAAAAGTATCCTCTGCTTCAAGCCACCAACCATGCCAAATCTTCAAAGCAGAGTGGGCATTAGTGCAAGTATCACACCTACTTTGTTTACTGAGTTACATACTTAGTTGGAAAATTCTTTGAATCACTCACTCAAGAGTAGCCAATACATTCCTAAAGGACTGGTGATTTTAAAACTAAAAGTAGTAACTTCTTTCAAGTGTGGGAGCACCTTACCCCAACTGCTCTTCATAAGTGGGCCCAAGGTTACCTTTTTTCCCTGAGGCAATAAACTGACAGAGTCTAGAGGATTCTAGAGGAAATAAGCTGGTAAGAATCAGCCCAAATCAAGTCATTCAACACACAGTTAGTGGCAACACACAGTTAGTGGCAATACATGTATAAACATCACAAAGATTATGTTCACAGGCTCTGGCTTTTCCAATGAATAAAAACAGAAAAATAATCATGAATTTATTTCATTTCACATTAGTAAACCTCATCTCATACAACTCGGGAGTCTTGAAAAGTACTGTTCCTCTAAGATAACAACTAAAGATAACAGATGGGTTTTACAACTATAGGAATGCTTAAACACCAAATTCAGAATGGTGGCTACCTCCTGGAAGAGAGGAAGAGAGGGAGGGGAAGGGGATTGGGGAGGGGTATACAGAGGGCTTTAACTGAATCTGTGTTGCAATTCTCAAGTTCAGAGTAATGGGTTGATTCCCCAGGCGTTCACTGCGTTATTTATAATTTTTGTATGCCTCATGTGTTATTTATAAAAGAATGATTCATTGCTTGTCAATTTACCAGAATTAACCATACCCTGATCATCCCCTTCCCTATTTTACTGCCATGTAATGAAATGAACTTTACAGGAGGTTTGTGAACTAGATGTGTTTTAATGTAGTTCAGTCCCAGTTGGAACCAAGGGAGAGCCTATTATTCACCTAAGGGTGGAATCAACAGAAGGGAGGTGACTTAATCCAACAATTATTTACTGAGCATCTACTAAGTGTCAAGTGCTAGCAACCCAATGTGGCTTCTCATTGCAGTGGTTTCTCTTGTTGCGGAGCATGGGCTCTAGGCGTGCAGGTTTCAGTAGTTGTGGCATGTGGACCCAGTAGTTGTGGCTCGCGGGCTGAGCTGCTCCGCGGCATGTGGGATCTTCCCGGACCAGGGCTCGAACCCGTGTCCCCTGCATTGGCAGGCGGATTCTTAACCACTACACCACCAAGGAAGTCCGAATCGCTCGCTCACTTTAAAGTGGCCAACTTTATGTGATGTGACTTTCACCTCAATGAATTAAAAAATATAGTACACGATATTAGGTATATTATATACGTACACTCTAGACACCCTTGAGACAACAGGGTAAATTTGAAAATGGACTGGATGTTGGATGATGTTAAGAAATTATTGTTAGAAATTTAGCATTGATAATGCAACTGTAAATATGTCCCTCTGCCATTTGGGCCACTGACACCGCAAAAGCCTGCCCTGAGCTGTGGGCCTCCGGGAACCCCATCCGGCCAGAAGCTGAGCACCAGTGCTGGTCCTGCAGCTTTCCTCTCAGAGCTTACCCACCCCCGCCCTTCTCCTTGGCCCGCTGCTGCCTGTTAGGCCCTGCCGCTGGGACGCTGCAGAGGGCAGGCTGGGGCAGAAAGGGGATTTGCTTCTCGGTTTTACTGGCATAAACTCAGCAGCAGTCTTCTGGCTGTAACTGCTTTCAGTGGTTGCAGATGATTCCCTTTTGCTTTGCCCCAGAACCAACCTCACAGGGTCCTCAAAGACCCTGCTATCCACAGCGCCCCCTCTTTAGAGGTCTGGGCCCCTCCTCCAAGTTTTGTCAGGTTTGTTTGTTTGTTTTTCTTTAATTGGAGTATAGTTGATTTACAATACTGTGTTAGTTTCAGGTGTACAGCAAAGTGATTCGGTTATACATATATATGTATACATCTACATTCTTTTTTTCTTATTCTTTTTCATTATGGTTTATTACCATAAATTCAAAATATTGAATATAGTTCCCTGTGCTCTACAGTAAGTCCCTGTTGTTTTTGTCAGTCTTAATAATAACAACCTCTCTCCTTTTTTCCCTCCAGTTCGAGGAGCCAGAGCTGTTTCTAGCAATTGCTACCTTAGGGTGGTTCCCTTTTTGCCTTTTCAGCTCTCCAATATATGGGTTAACCAACCTTTATATTATAATGATTTTTTTTTTTTGATGTGGACCATTTTAAAAGTCTTTATTGGATTTGTTACACAATATTGCTTGTTTTATGTTTTGGTGTTTTGGCCGTGAGGCATGTGGGATCTCAGCTCCCCAACCAGGGATCGAACCCGCACGCCCTGCAATGGAAGGCGAAGTCTTAACCACTGGACCACCAGGGAAGTCCCCTATTCTTTATATTAAATTTTGTCTGTGAAAATAACTTTTATTGCTGTCTTTTGACAGGACATGACTGATGCATCAACTGCAGACAGTTATTCATTGTATTTGCTTTATAGCTTACTGTAGGTCTGAAATCTTTCATTCTAATATTTTCATTTTACCATTTTAATTAGCAACCAAAAAATATAAGGTAGCTAGGAATAAACCTGACAAAAGATGCACATGAAACGTAAGGAGATACTGAACAACACCTAAATAAAGGAAAGATATACTACATTCATGCATGGGAAGACAAATATCTCTAAAGATGCCAATCTTCTCCAAACTAGATACTGCTTCTCCAATAGTAGTATCTAGTTTGTGTCTTCTCCAATAGATACAATCTTCTCCAACAGATACTACTATTGCCCCTCAGAACTTACAGTCTAGTGAGGAAATCGGAGATCTCATCGCCAGAAATAAAGGTGAAAAATAAGATATCTATTGAATGGATCCAGTTACCATCTCACAGGGGATAAAAGATTATGTAGCTTACAAGAAAACCATGACTTTGAAAACCCTATTTTGTCACCCCGTCTTTACCAGAATAATTAGCAGTAAAATACTTGCTACAAAAAGGAACTGCTAGTAAGAGGGCAGTGAGGTGGAGAGCCCTGAGAGAGCTGCACCAAATCTCGCAAAGAACTGCACCAAATACACCAAGGAATAAAAAGAGTAGTGACAGCTACAAAGAGGAAATGAGGTAGAATTCCTGGAGCCAGCTGTGAAGTAAAAAAGAGAACAGAGTAGGCCTGAGTCAGGGCAGGGGTCTCAAAGATAACTAATCAAAGGAAACTTGTGGGTTGTGAAATACATGCCTCTCCTGTAGGAAAATACCTTTTCCCTGTTTCGACTTCCACAATTTCCTTTGAGAAACTGTAAGAACACTGAAGACAGAAACACCGTTAAGTCTTAAAAAAAGAATTTCTTTAGGACTGCTCTGCTTTTACCTAGATTAGGCCTTCCATTTTGCAAATTCCAAATAAAATTATCCTCAAATCTGATAGTTTGTGAATGTTTGGCCTAAGAATGGAAGGAACTTAAAGGTCTTTACTCCCATCACAATATATACCGATCTGGAGCAAAAGTAGAAAACTTGGCTAAATATGGAACAGGTGTTCTGGGAAAAAGAAAACCCCGTAAAAGGATGGGTAAGAGTAAGTCTCTAGAGAGGAACCTTAATGCATCAAGGTTTCGTCCACTATTTACAAAAGAAGAGAGGGAGTAGTCTCAACAATACCCAACAACTGCCCATAAAGAATCCCATGCAGGAGTACCTGATGGCCACTTAAAACAGGCATCACCCTTTGAAAGTTAAGAACTGCCGGGAAGGCCAAAGACGCCCATTTGCGAAGCCCAGGCGGCCACGGGGGAGGTCTCCCCACAGGTCCCTATAGTGCCGGGGTCTGTCTGGCGCGAATCTGGAGCAGAAGCACACGTTCTCCCGCAGGAGGCCCTACAAAAATGGCGTCGGCTCCACCCCAATGTGACCAAACTGGAAGACAGGAGTAACTTCCCAGCTCCTCTCCCGAGCCCAGAATCGCGTCCGGATCGCCCAGCTGCGGGCAGGCAGGGCGGAGAGTAAGGTTACTGCCGCCTAGGAGATCCGGAGGCCGCGTGCAGAGCCCGGGAGACCGGGCCGAGCGGAGTCGTGGTCCCGGGGTCCAGGCGGCATTACCTTTATTCTTAGGCATGGCGGTGACGACGGCCTCGCTGCGTCTCCGACTCCAATCTGGGTGGCGGCGGCGACTCCTCCGAGGGGCGACGCGTGGGACAGCGTGACACGAAG